GCATTCTTTTTTTTTTTTTTCAGAGAGGCTTTTGCTATAGGGCACGTGCACTCGCCAGAAAGACAGAGAGAGAGAGAGAGAAAGCGAGAAATCACCCCCCAGGGGGGATAGCCACACTGTAATCTCTTCTCCATTCTCTTCTTGGGATCTTGGCCACGCATGCACATGTGCCCTGCGTGAGTTTAAGCCACCGGGTCTGGGACTTGAACCGCGGTCGGCTACATGGGAGTCCAGCGATATAGCCATTACACTAACTGCTGGTCCCATCTGGTAGCATTCTTAAGGTCATACCTCTCCCCAACCCCTCTTGAAACAATGTTTAAATGTCTTTGTTTGCTTTCACTTTTTTGTTTGGTGTGTGGGGTTGGTGTTGATGTTTTTCCCCCACTTTTTTTTTGCCATCTATTGTATTGAGGTGAAATTCACATAACATAAAATTAACCTTTTTTTTGAGAGAGAGATTTTTAAAAAGAATTATTTTTATTTAATTTTATTCATTCGTTTTATTTTAATTTGACCAGAGAGAGAGAGAGAGAGAGAGAGAGAGAAATGGAAAATGAGAAAGCAAACCTCCAGGTCCGGGGTTTGAACTGTGGTCAGCCATGTGGGAGTGTCCAGCACCTTAACCACCACGCCACCTGCTGGTCCCCAGAGAGAGATTTTTGATACACATGTGCTCACTGGAGAGACAGACAAAGTGAGAAATCACCCTCCTTAGGGTAAATGGCCATACCACAGTCCCTTCTCCACCAGTCTTCTCTCAGGATTTTGGGCATGCACACACATGTGCCTGGCGTGAGTTTTAAGCCATGGGGTCTGGGACTCAAACCATGGTTGGCTACATGGGAGTCCAGTGATGTAACCATTACGACATCTGCTGGCTCCCAAATTAACCATTTTAAAGGGAACATTTCATTGGCACTTGGTACAATCACAATGTTATACAACTGCCATTTCTTGCTAAATCCAAAACATTTGCATCACCCCAGAATGAAACCCCATACCCATTAAGCAGTTAACTCCCCATTCTCTCCCCAGTTTCCACGGCAGTCACCAGTCTGCTTTCTCTTCTTATGGATTTACCAGTCTGGGTATTACAAGTAAGTAGAATCATATCGTAGTGGCCTTTTGTGTGTGGCCTCTTTCACTCAGCATAGTTTTTGAGGTTTGTCCACATGTATCAGTATTTTATTCCTTTTTTGTGGCTGCATAATATCCCATTGTGTGGATATACACATTTTGTTGGTCTGTTCTGTGGAGGATATTTCGGTTTCCACCTTTTGGCTAGTGGGCTCCCTTTTTGTGTAATGGGTGGATGGGAGGGAGAGTTTTAAAGTGTGTGGGAAATATGTATTGTGGAAAAACCTGCATGGATTTAAATTTATTTGCACCAAAATAAATTCATAGTTTAACTTTCCATGAATATTTTGAAGGTCTCATGTAGGAGGCTACTTTCTAGGCTTTTCAGGTAGCTGCTGTTCTTGGTGTGGGTACACTCAGCTCTGTTGCCTCTCACTGTTCTGCCTGGCAGAGGCAGCTTTTCTCTTATCAATCAGTCCCTTCTGAGTTTGGTAGGAACTAGTTCACAGGATCTGTAATACCCCTTCTAAATTATGATCAAATTTCTTTTTAAAAATTATTTAACTTTATTATCTATTTTAATTTGACCAGAGAGGGACAGAGTGAGAGAGACGGGAAGTGAAAAAGCAAGCTGCAAGGTCCGGGACTTGAACCGTGATTGGCCATGTGGGAATCCAGTGCCCTTTACCACCACGCTACCTGCTGGCCCCTTGTGATTGAATTTCTGACCCTGCAAAAGGGAGGACCAGAGCTTTAATAGAGTGCACATTAAATTACCCTGTGTTAGTTTGAGTCCTAGTTTAGATGTGCAAGAGACATTGGGCTAGTGTCAGGGTGAGGGGAATATCTAAAAGAAAATGAGAGCTCAAGCAGTGTGGAAAAGCTGTCAGATAATAATGTAGCTGTGATCTCTGGAGAAGACAGCAGAGGAGGGCTGGCCCCACAGCCAAGTGGTTAAGAGAGCTGGATCCCACATGGCTGACTGTGGTTTAAATCCCAGCCCCGGCGTCTTGAAGTCAACATACCAGGTGCATGTGTGTACACCCCCCAAATCCTGGCCGAATGGAGAAGGGATTGTGGCATGACAATACTCCACTGTGGATGCTATCTCCCTGCCTTTCTAGTGAACACATGTACCCTCTGGCAGTTTTTTTTTAAAAAAAGGAAAGGGGTGGGTAGGGAAA